AGAAACTCACTGTATTAGTCTGGGTACTTTGGAGAAACAAATCCATAGCAACTCATGTATAAAAGAGAGTTTTATGTAAAGAAAATGTGCATCACGAAAACATCCCAACCCAATGCTGCCCAAGCCCACAAGTCCAACATTAACCCAACACCAGTCCACAAAGTCCTCCACCTCACAAAACAGAGGCAATGATGCCGACTTCAGGAGGAAAGCTGAGTCAGTGAACGAACATGCATCTCAGCACTAGCAGGGGTCTCCACACGGCTGCTCCAGCACCCAGGGCTGCATCGGGATAGGTCCATGTAGCTTCTCCTTGGGGATGTCTTGCAGGAAGTCAATCTTGAAAGCTGAAGCAAGGAACTGCTAAGGCAGCTGCACCCGGTGCAACCATCACAAAACAAGAGACCTGAGAACTCGAAAGGCCAGGCTCACCACCCATTTATCCCTCCGCCTTTCAATTAGCCCCACATGTGATTATCGGCCAGGCTGGCACAATTAACTAACTCACTCATGAAGGCAGTTCTACTCTGTCCTGTAGGGTCCTTATGAGTCACCATCAACTGGGTGGCAGAGAGTGTTTATTTATTTATTTAAGCTCAGAAAGTAGGATAGAGATGGGAAAGGACAGATGAAACAGTAAACATAGGAAGGAAATGGGTGGAATGCTGAGACGTGGGGATTGCAATCAGTGCCATGGATCAAAATGTGCAGGAATTGTTGAATCGAAAGCCAATTTGTTCAGTAAACTTCCATCCAATTCACAATTAAAATGGGGTGGAGGTGGGGGTGGGGAACAGTCATTGAAAAACCTATGAAAAAGTTTTACTCTGACACGCATGGGGTCATCAGGAGTTGATATAGCTGCAAAGGCAACTGATGGGTGATGGTGGTGGCTTTGGGAGGCATCTGAAATAGAATAAAGGAACTCGGTGAATAGGATCCCTTATGAATGAGGACGTGTGTCTTATTTCTCTGCTTTGTTTTATTATTTTTTTTGTGTGGGGCAGCTGATGAGAATGGGAGTGCTGTTTATCATTTGAGAGGTTATGGAAGACGAGGTGTCCTGAAAGAGTTTGGTGAGGTGCCGTCGTCAGCCCCATGAGAGATGGTGGTGGCATTATAGAGGTGGAAGTATTGAGCTCTTAGCCAAAGTCTGTGGAGAGTTAGAGCCGTACATGCCTTTGTGGCAGGCACAGGAGGTTCACTGATTGACAACCCTTCCCTGTTGTCTGGGATATTGGAGCACAGATTGTTCAGTGTCTGATTAGCTGCACTGATCTTAGGGAAGGGGTGTGTATAAGTCCAGGTTGACGAGAGAAACAAATTCATTGGCACTCATATGTGTGTAAGAGAGAGATTTATATCAAAGAGCCATTGTTTATTGCAAAATCATCCCAGCCCAGTCCAGATTAGGTTCATAGTCCAATATTAGCCCACATGTCTGATACTAGTCCATAAATTCCTCTTAAGACTCACACAGCACATGCAATGAGGCCGAATGCAGGAAAGGTCGGTGGGTGGAAAGTCTTGTGATCTAGTTGTGGTAGAAGCATCTCAGTGCTGGCATGTGCTGGCATGTGTCTCCAAGTGGCTCCTCCAGCTCCAGGGCTGTGCCTGCCATCAGCATAGCTCCATGTGGCTTGTCAACAGAATGTCAAGCAGAGAGAGTGTGTGCCCTGCCTCCAAGGAGGAAGACAGGAGTTCCCAGAATCTTCAGGAGAAGGCCATGCCCACATGGAGGTATCATTGGCTATGAGCTGATTGACAGGCTAGATTCCACTCCTTTGCTCAAGTTGACAGGAGATTATGTGACTCCCACAGTGGCCTAGTCCCATGGGATGAATCCTGCTTGGCCCACTCCAATCATGATAATCCATTTCTATTTCTTGGGGATTGGTCTGAGGACCAATGGGGGATTTTGTCAGATGGGGTGGTAGGGGGACTTTGGAAACTATTTTCTCCTTTATTACCAGAGAAACCTCATATAAAAGAGGCCTGCTGCTTCCTTGCTGATCTTGACCTAGAGTGTGTGAGAGAGTATTACATTCCACCCTATGGCAGCTTTTGGGTGATCTCACAGAGGTGTCAGAACTGACGTGGTAGCGCTGAACACTACCGCAGCTCTAATGTGACTTTACGTAGAGGAAATTACCCTTGCTGTGAGTGGAGCGTTGTTCAGTTAGCTAGTGTTCCAAGTAAAACCTGATGTTCCCCGGTGAAGAAAACACTGCGTCTCAAGACTGTAGTGTCAACTCCTGCTGAGTTTCCAGCCAGCCCTCACAATTGTGTGGATCATTTCCTTCAAATACACATTGTATGCGTGTGTGTGTGTGTGTGTGTGTGTGTGTGTGTGTGTTTCTGTTTCTCTGGAAGACCCTGCCTGACAGCGGAATGGAAGCTCCAACTCACTGTGGGAAGACATCAATCTCACCAACAAGGGCAAGGAAGGTGCCCCCCTCCCAATGGCAGGAGTGGTAATGCGCCCCCTGAAGGTGCATGGGAATAGGAGTGAGCTAGCAGAGACCAGGTGGGGCCAGCGCCGAGGATTCTCTTGGAGGACGCTGGCGGTAGGGCTGCAGGGTATCACAGTTCCCGTCGCCAGCATTGGTGGCGCCAAAGGGATCCGGGTTCAGCTGCTCGCTTGAGTGGAGTTTCTACTTCCTTAGCATAAAAAAAGGGAAGTTTGTATCTATTCCCATTGCGTGGTAGTGGTGGTGGTGTTAGGTCCCACCAAGTGAATGCCGGCTCTAAAAACCCTGTGCACAGCAGAACAAAACAACCGTCCAGTCCTGCCCCATCCTTACCATCAGCGGTTCTCAACCTCGACCCTTTGGGGGTCGAATGACCCTTTCGCAGGGCTCGCCGATTTATCACAGTAGCAAAGTGAAAGTGATGAAGTAGCAACGAAAATAACGTTCTGGCTGGGGGGTCAGCACCACATGAGGAACTGTGTGAAAGGGTCGCGGCGTGAGGAAGGTGGAGGACCACTGCAGTGATTCTTGGGTGATTCTTAGGCGGTTGCCCATTGTTGCAAATGCCATGCCCATCCATTGGGTGTTAGAAAGATGACAATCGATTAATTCTTGCAACTTTTCTAGCACATAAAAAGCGAAACCCATGGCCATCAGGTCGATTCTGACTCGTGTGTCCCTTCGCAGGGTTTCTGAAACTGTCCGTGTTGACTGGAGCCAATCGCATCAGCTTTCTCCTGAGCAGTGGCTGGTGGTCCAGAGATTTGAACCATAGATCTCATGGTTCCCTGACATTGCTACCAGGGCTCTGAACATTTTGAGCCCATAGTAGGGGTTAATAAAAGATGGGGAAGAGTGGTGGTCTAGTGGTAGCATCCTTGTCTTGCATGCGGGAGATGGAGGTTCAATTCCTAGCCAGCACCTCCAACATAGCCACCACGAACTGTCTGTCAGCGAAGGCTTGGCTGTGGCGGTGATGCTGAACAGATTGTAGCAAAGCTTCCAGACTAAGCCAGACTAGGAACTAGGGCCTGATCATCACCTTCCAAAAACCAGCCTGTGAAAGCCCTTATGTAGCACAACTGTCCATTCCAGTGTGCCCAGTGTTGCCTTGAGTCAGGATACCACCACTGCCACCAATTAAAGTTAGAAACGACTATGTACGTGAGACCTGCAGAAATAATGGAAAGATAGTACAATCCCACAGGGGAGACGCAGTCCGTGGAGGCTGGGTGAGGTCAGCCCATTTGGGGGCTTTGGGGGAGCAATTTGATGTTCTACCCTGATTGGCCAGTTAAGAGGCAACCCCCAGGGCATGGAGTTCAGGAGGCCATTTCTCCTCTGCCTTCAAAGGCACATGTGGAAGTTATATAATCTGGTGTCCATTTGTATTAAGAGGATTAAGAGTGAAGAGGTGGAATCTAGTCTGTCAATTGGGTCATAGCCAATGAGACATCTGTGTGGGCATGGCCTTCTCCTGAGGATTCTGGGAACTCTTATATTTCCTTCTTGGAGGAGGGAGACACTCTCTCTCTCTCTCTCTCAGCTCACTCCCTTGGAGACATTTCTGAGGAGAAGCCACATGAAGCTACCCTGAGGCAGTCAGAGTTTCAGAGCTGAAGGAACCACGTGGAGACCCCTGCCAGCACTGAGATACTTACAACACCACTGGATCCACAAGACTTCCCACCTACTGGCCTGTGATCTTCCTGCATCTGCGTCACTGCATGTGTCCGAAGAGGACTCTATAGATTGGTATCGGACATATGGGCTAATATTGGACTTCTGGACTTGATCTGGAGTGGGCTCGGATGTTTTCTCAATATTTAACTGCTCTTGTATAGAAAGCTCTTTCTTAGACACATACGAGTATAAGAAAGTATTCATACACATATGGATTTGTTTCTCCAGTCAACTCAGCCTAACACAGCCCATCTGAAACAATAGACTTTTTTAGGGGAAGGTTAATGTTCACCCTGACCTTGTTTCCCTCGAATCATCCGGGAGAAAGGCAGCGTTGTATAACGCTGCTCACCAGAAAAAGGAGCGGCAGAGATTAAGTGAGTCCCCCAAGGTCCTAAGGGATTGAGTGGAGGCTTCCTGTGGGACCTCAGACTCCCCAGAGGAGCAAGGGTTAGACTCTCCTCATTGTACAATCGATACCTTGGCTTCCAGAAGCACCAGGGCTGCAAATGTCATGATCCAAACCAGAGACTGACTTCCTGCTCCCGGATATGAGGTGGGAGAGGGACAAAAATAACCACAGCGCTCTGACGGCAGATTCTGAGAAGCCGCCCTTCTCTGCCCGGCCCCCTCCCACACTCCCATTAGAAGTGGGTTCTAGCCCTTCTCTAACTTACAGAAAGAAGAAGGATAGAAATGGCCAGTATTTGTAGTAACAGGATGAGAAAGTGCGAGACTTCCTGTTATGTGTGTGACAGCTGGTGATAAGTGGAGGCCCCAGCACAGGAAATCCGCTCCGCTTCTGCAAGGTGGCCCGGCTGCAACTTGGGCGCGCCTTCAGTCTGGATGTGGATGGCGGGACAACGGGACGCTTGGACCATGGATGACGTGGTAGAGAGGAGTTTGGAAGGGCCCATGGCCCCTTCTACAGATGAGCCCACCTGCAAAAGGGGAGAGCTGGTAGAAATCTTAAATGGGGACAAGGTACATTTTGACGACACGGGACTCTCCTTAATTCTTCAGAACGGCCTGGAGACCCTTCGCATGGAGAACGCCCTCACGGATGTCATCTTGTGTGTGGACATCCAGGAATTCTCCTGCCACCGCGTGGTGCTTGCTGCGGCCAGCAACTACTTCAGGTCAGAACGCCCCCGGGTCGGAGGCAGATTGGGTGCCAGGTGCAAGGGAAATCTGTGTTGGCGTGAGAGCCCGTGCTGCCGGCATGTATGGCTCGTCTCTTGGTGATGGTCTGTGTGTATACTTCAAAGAGACAAGAAAAAAAGCCATAGGGCATGCGGATTTAGGTTGCGTTAAAAAACGAACAATGATGAGAAATACAACCTTCCTCTAGTTCCTAAAGGTTTCCTCCCCGCTCCCACTACCATGACTCGAATTCGATCTTGCAAGACTGGCTAGACCAGAGGAGGTACACTGGTACAGATAGGAACTGAAAATACAGGGAATCCAGGGTGGATGAGCCCTATAGGACCAGTGGTTTGAGTGGCGAAACGAGGGTAAAGGGAGAGTGGGTAGGAAAGAGGGAACCAATTACAAGGAACTATATGTGACCTCCTCCCTGGGGGACAGACAACTGAAAAGTGGATGAAGGGAGACGTCGGACAGGGCAAGATATGACAAAATACCCATTTATAAACTATCAAGGGCTCATGCGGGAGGGGGGAGCGGGGAGGGAGGGGAAAAATGAGGACCTAATGTCGGGGGTTTAAATGGAGAGAAAATGTTTTGAGAAACGATGTACAAATGCGCTTTACATAATTGATGTGTGTATGGATTGGGATAACAGTTGTATGAGCCCCTAATAAAATGTTGAAAAAGAAAAAAAACAACAACAAAACAAACCAAGATGTTCCAAAATGTGTGTGTGTGGGGTTGGGGGGTGGGGGTGTGGTGAGAGAGAGAGAGAAAGGCTGTGTGTGGGTTCTCCTGTGTAGCCTGACCCTTGCAAGTATAGTTTTCCAATGAGTAACTGTATATTTCCCTAAAAAGACAGAAGATTCTGTGAAGACAGACACCATCCTTCCTATATTCATTACATGAAACTCAAAAGGGATGCTAACCATAGTTCCCAAACCAAACCACTGCCATTGAGTTTATTCTGACCCATGGGACAGGATATATATATATATAAATGTATCAAGCATCATTTTACCTTGCATATATTTATTCACAAGATTTACCATTGTTCATAATGTATTCATTAATTATGTTTCTTTTGTATATATCTAAATAAAATTTTAACATTTTTCTTGTTAAAAAAAAAAACGAATTCAGCACAATTTCAAAGGATCTGATACGAACCTTCTGTGATTATGACCTTGTGCCAGAGAACGGAACAATTCACTCAAGCCGTGTGTTTTTTAATTTTATTTTTTTCCATTGAGCCTGAGGTCTGTGTTGGAAACACGATGTCTTTGTTCATCAGCAGAGGTGGAGCGAAAGAATGCGGCTCCTCTTTGCAAGTTGTAAAATGACTTGTTAAGGATCAGGAGCGTCTGTGTATACAAGGCTATTAACCAAAAGATCATCTGTTTGAACGCATTGGCCGCTAATGGACAGTCAGACTTCAATGAAGATTGTAGCCTTGGCAACTCCATAGGGAAGTTCTAGTCTGCCCTACAGAGTTGCATGAGTTGGCACTGACTTGATGCCAATGGGCTGGGTGGAAAGAGACGGGGAAGTTACAAAGGTGCCTTGGAAGTCAGAGGTTCATAGACCCAATCACTGTGTGTGCTCACAGCAGGGAGATGTGGAGTCAGCAGACCTGGGTTCCAGTTCACACGGCCAATTCTTAACTGTGTGACAGAAGGCCAGTCTCTTAATGTAAGGTGTGATGTGTGTGGGGGTGGTGGTGGTGGTAGGGCGGTGCGTGGAATGAGGACTACCTGTCAGGATTATTGGGAGCATTAGATCTGAGTGGGGGAAAGGGTCTTACACAGGGCCTAGCATACAATTGTTGAAACTCTTCCCCCGATTCTGCTGGGTTCAGCTCGTGGGCTCCCCCCCCATAGAAGCCCCTGCACTGGGGCTGTCTTGGCCGGTAGTGGGTAGACCTGCAGCGTACCAGACAGACCCAGTCAATCTGATCGGCGTTTGCAGCAGTGCCATGAAGGTGGCTACTATTCCTTTCACAGATGAAGAAATGGAAACAGAGCACATTCTAAAATCCTTGTTTGTTAGTTTGTTTGCTGATAAAAATGGCTGCCAAGTTTGGGGCTTCATTCCACAGAGAGTAGATGAAAGGTAAAGCCCAGACAGTGATGACAATGGGTTAACACAGACAAACACATGACTCACCAGGATTGGTCACAGGCTCAACCTTTTTCAGGAATGCATGAAAAGTCAACCACCGTCAGTGCTCCAGGCTAGGTTGTTGATTGGTTTCCTGTCTCTTTTGGACCGCTGGAACACTGCTAACGTGATTGTTGGTGCTCAGCCTGCCTCCGGAGCAGGCCCCCTGGCTGGCTGCTCTTGAGAAAACCACTGCTTTTCTTTGGGTCTCTGGATACAGACCCATTTATGTGAGCCCTGGTGCTGTCGTGGTTACATGTTGCCCTGCCAACCACAAGTTCAGCAGTTTGAAACCACCAACCGCTCTGCAGGAGATAAATGAGGCTTTCAGGGCAGCTCTACCCTGTCCTATAGGATCGCTATGAGTCAGCATCGACTCGATGGCAGTGAGTTTGATTCCAACTCACAGTGACCCCGTAGGACAGTGTGGAAATGTCTCATCGGGTTTCTAAGGCTGTAATCTTTACAGAAGCAGACTGCCTCAGCTTTCCTGTGCAGAGCAGCTGGTGGATTTGAACAACTGAACTATTGGGTCCTAGCCAAGTGCTTAACCATTTTGACATCAAGGCTCAGGATACGCATCTCCAAATACAACGTGTTTGAACATGTTTGAGCTCAGGCCCGTCTCGATCCCGCTGATCTAAGACACTCAGAGAAAGAAGGCTTGCCTGTCATCGTCGTTGGTATTTTGGAAAACCTGGAAGTTGTTTGTAAAATGATGTGGGTTCTCTTTCTCTACTCATTGAGAAAATAAATATTATCTACCAAGGGATTGAACCATAATCTCTTTAGCCAGTTCCTTGTTTTGATGGTCCTTTGGGCTGCTCCTGACCCTTTGCTATGACAATGTTGTAACGAATAGCCTTATGCGTGTGCCATTGCAGATGCAGGCAGGAGTCTGTGGGATATGCTTTTAGAGGAGGAATTGCTGCATCGAAGCGCAGGGCATCTGCTGTGTTAGTGGACATTTCCAGAGACTTAGAGACGGTCTCTCTGCCATTTCTCAGAAGAGGTGGTAACAATGAGAAGTTAGAGGTGCACCTGGGGGCAGTGTGTGTGTGTGTGTGTGTGTGTGTCTGTCTGTCTCTGCCCAGACTGTCTGGTTGAGAAGGGAAATTCCTTCTATTCTTTTCTTGAGAACTGGGCCTTCTGATTTGTATCTTGGCATTTCCACCATGGCTTTTCCTCTTGTAATGAGTACGGTCCTGGAGATAAGATTCTTTTGTTCTGCCTGTGGCTAAGAATAGCTTCTCTTTGTGGAGCTTTCCACGAGAGTCGAACTGTTAACTCCATAGGGTTTCAGTGGCCGATATTTTTGGAAGCAGATCACCAGGCCTTTCTTCTGAGGCACTTGTGGGTGGACTCAAAGTTCCAACCTTTCAGTTAGCAGCTGAGTGCATTAACTGTCTCTACTCCCCTGTGTCCCATCCATGGAAACCAAACCCACTGCCATTGCATTGATCCGGGCTGATACTGAGGCTGTACATTGATGTTGGAGCCGCCAGCCTCACCTTTTTCCCACGGAGCACCTGGCAGTTCCGAAAACTCAACATTGATATCGCTTTTCTCCCCCATAGTCCTCTTTAATCTTCCAACATCATGTTAACACACTTTTTGGTAAGTCCATGTTAAGAGTTTACACCTTGCCATTACCTGCCCAAAGCTTAATCCACTGTGCCACCAGAACTCTTACACATATGCTTTGCTATTTAATCCCTACAGTGATTCTTTAAAGTAGGGGGTTTTATCCCCATTTTACAGATGAGAAACCCAAGCTGCAGTGTCATGGTGGATAAGGAGAAGCCACTCTGGGATTTGCATTTAGGAGGGACATGGAGCCTGGCATTGCCTCGTTACTTCTCTAGCCTTTGCTGCCAAGGTTCTGAAAGGGCTTGGGGGCAAAGTTCCACTTATGCTCAGCCTTTAGAAGACCGATTCATCTGGCTCTGTCTCAGGAGGTGCCAGACTCAGCCCTGCACACTTTGGAGGGCCCAGAACCTGGGGATGTCAAATGATGGAGGTGCTTTTGTCTTTATTCACTGAGAAAACAAATATTGTCCGATGGGTGACGGAGCCATCCTTTACAGAACCTGCCCTGTTTTGATGGATCGTCGGGTGGTTTCTAATCTTTTTGCTACTACATTGTTGGCATGGTTGATGCTGTCCGGCTTTTATTTTCCACGGTTGCAGGAGCATCTGGGGTTGCATTTCTAGAAGAGGGTTTGCTGAGTCCAAGAGCAATACAACTGCAGACTTGGTAGCTATTGCCCGAGTCTTCTAGAGCAGGGCTGAGTCATTCGGTGCAAACTCAAGCCAGTGACTGTTTCTATACAGCATTGCCAACAGAGGGTGTTCTCAAACTTTGGATTTTTAACAGTTTGGTAGATGAGAAATAGTTTCTCGGCACACTTTCAATTTGCATTTCTCTGATTTGGAATCGGGCCTGACATCTTTTTATAAGCCTAACGGTCATCTGCTTGTCTTTTGCTTTGAATTGCCTCTCCATGTCCTTTCTAAATTTTGCATGCTTTTTTGGGGCCAAATTCTATTTTTATAGAAGACTTGCAAATGTCTAACAGTCAAATAGTATTTTTAAAGGTATCTAAAGTATTGAAGTCAAAAAGTATTTCTTTAAAAGTAGTCATAACGAAAGACAAAACGTTTGCTTCCCCCCACTCACACACTTCAGTCTTGCTCTCGGAATTTCCCAGTTTTTACTCCTTTAGCGATTTCATCTCCTGCCAACTCTGTATTTCCATGTAAGGTGCCTGCACCGCTTTTTCTGCATCTCTCAGTATTAGATAGCACGAACTGATTTCTGATGCTGTCA